GGGCTCGTCAGTAGAAAGGTGATAGAAATTTTCTAAGTAAAAGTTTTTTAGACTTTGAACTAAAATATCTCAATAACTACTAAACTAAATTTAATAATTTTTTTTTTATTTTAATTATATATAGTTATAAAATTAAAATAAAAAAAAATTTATTTAATTTGATATTGTAATTATTGAACTATTTTAATTTAAAATTTAAAAAAAAAGTGGTAAAAACTTTTTACTCCTTTTTTACTGACGAGCCCCCAAATACTGATCAAATATCAATCCTTATATTTTTGATAGGTCCTATAGATAGTTTGAAGGTGCTCATAGCCTCATTGGCTAGGTATAGGTACTAAGATTGAGTTCTAGAGTAAGAGTAGGGCTTAAATAGAATACCTATATACAAATGGGTAGAGTAAGAATATCACTAGTACTCGGTCTACCTGGTCTATGTAGAAAGGACCCCGGACATCTCTCATATAGGTCATAACTGGATTTTGGCCAATTTTGACCTAATTTGCTGAAAATGACAAAATCTATTTATTTAAATAACTTTTGATCCAGTGATCAGAATTGAATGAACTTTTTTTTATTAGATGCCCCTCACTGAGGACTTCATTTTAAAAAAAGTTCATTCAAATTGGACTACTGGATGCCAAGATAATTGCCAAAAACTGATTTTTTGCTTTTTAAATTTTGGGGGTTTTTGCTGAAATGCGTAACGTATGACCTCTGTACTACATGTTCGGGGTCCTATGTAGAAGCCTAGTCACTGGTAGTAACACTCCCATTTGTAATGTACAATCAAAACAAACATAAATGCGTGCAAAATTTATTATTATTAGAGTTAGGGTATAGTTCAAAAAAGGGTTAGCTATAGTAGAAAAGTGGTTTCATAACGATATTTTTGACTATTACATAATCAAATATAAAATTATATTTAAATTGTATTCACGCCAGTGACAAATAGATTTATTCATTAAAATTTATAATTTGCATTGATTGAAGTACAATATATTTAATTACTAATACGAATATGATCTGCAGAATTTCTATATTAGTTAAGTTCTATAAAATTTACTATATACTGAAATTTGAGTAGTGTACAATGAAAAGTATTTTTTTTTAATAAGTTAACAGCCAAAGTCAAATAATTGAAAGTTGTAAAGCTCACTGGAATGCATCTAATATAATTATATCATTCAAATTGAACTAGTGGAGACTAAGACATTACAAAAAAAACAATTGTTAACTATATAAAATTTATATTTAGCCAATTGTTTTTTAGTGATATTTTAATTTTTATTAGCTCAATTTGAATGATATAATTACATTAGATATGTCTCAATAAGCTCTACAGCTTCCAATTATTTGACCTTGGCTATTAACTTATTAAAAAAATACTTTTTATTGTAGGTCACTAATATTTCAGCATATAATAAAAATTTATATTGTACTTATTTCCAAAATTTACTATTGTTCAATATAGTAATACTGCTGATCTTATCTGAAACATCAATTAATATTTTTGATTAATAATCTGCCAGTCAACTAAAGAGTAATCATAGTATAATGTAATGCAATTCAGCTATAAAAATTACTATAGATGAAATATGGCATGCTTTTATCTAAAAAATTTTTTTTACTAAGTTAACAGTACATATCTACTAATTAAAAGTTATAGAGCTCGTTGAGACACATTTAAGGTAGTTAGATCATCCAAATCAGCTTAGTGAATAGTGTGATATCATCGTAAAATAATTGCCCAACTATATAAAATCTCTATATAGCCAATATTTGTTATATAAAAATTTTATATAGTTAGCCAATCATTTTTCGACGATATCTTACTATTCACTAGGCCAATTTGAATGATCTAACTACTGTTAAATATGTCTCGATAAACTTTACAACTTTCAATTAGTAAAAGTGTACTATTAACTTAGTAAAAATTTTTTTTTAAATAAAAGAATGCCATATTTCACCTATAGTGATTTTTATATGTGATCTGTATCACATTATACTATGATCACTCTTCAGTTAATTGGTGGATTATCAATTAATGTCGCAGATTAAAATGAAATCAGATTAAAGTGAAACTGGTGACCTCTCTTGCTTACCTTTAAAGCTTATAAAACCCACATATACTTGTTTATTAATAACCCTAACCCTAAACCCTAACCCTAATGCTAAAAAAACCCCTAAAAAATGTCCTCTAAAAAATTTTAAAATTTTGCTTAAAAAATAGAAAAATTTCATTTTAATCCGATTTCATTTTAATCTGTTACAATTAATAAATTTTCACTTAAACATTTTCTAAAAGATTATTGTAAACAAAAAAACTTCTCTCAACAACAAAAAGAAATAAATAACCAAATATAAAGCAAAATATTTTTTTATTAGTTGGATCATATATATAAAAACTCATTTTAAAAATATTTAAAGCTTATATTTAATAATTTTTTAATTTAATTTTAGAGTTGCTATAGGATAACTTTTTCGTAATTAGTCAATTTTATTCAATTTAATTTATTAACTTAGTAAAATTTTTTTCTAAAAAAAAAAAATAATCCCATTTATAATACTATAGAAGACTCTTTACGAACAAAGCTTTAAGTACCTTGAATAACTTTGGAGTTTATTTTACCTAGGTATACTTTATTTAGAGATAAATTTTAAGCTAAAAAAATAGTAATATATAATAAATATATATATTAAAGTTTCTAATTAGCTCACAAAAACATAACTAGCTTGCTCGAGAAAAGAGTTTAAAATACCGGTATATAATAACTTTATAATACATCGGCAAATTTTATATATAGATATATATTGATTACTAACCGGTAAAATATATATCGATACTAAATACCCCTGCCGATTTTTATCAATAGTGATAGTAAGGGAGCTTCCAGAAATTACGTAATTTTTTGTTACTAATAAGTTTCAAAATTTTACCCCATCCACCCACACCTGATACCCTATTAGCCAATCAAATTTTAAAAATTATTTATATGTCCAATTTTTTGAATTGATAATAACTTTTGATCCACTGGTCCGTTTTGTATGATTTAACTACCAAAATGCTCGTCTCAATGAGACAATTCTAACAAGCCCAAAATCGTTAAAATCTAATTACAGGATCCCAAGATCGTTCAACTTTTGTGTGATTTTAATAGTGATTTTGTTAGAATCGTCTCATCGAGATGAGCATTTTGGTAGTTAAATCATCTAAATTGGCCCAGTAGATCAAAAGTTATCAATAATTTTATAATTTTATACTTTTGGCCAAAATTATAAAATTTTGACCAGAATTATAACCTGATATTTTGGTGATCCCACCCACCCACCCAAAAATTACATAATTTCTGGAAGTAGGGCTCCTACCGAACCGGACCGAACTGAACTTTTGTCAAGTTTGAGTCTGGTTCGATTTTCGAACCGGACTCAAACTTTTTGTTTCAAACTTTTTAGTCAAGTTTGAGTTCGGTCCGGGTTCGGTCCGAAGTTTGCAAACTAGTTCGGAGTCCGAATAGATATTAAAGATGCCTGACGAAATGTTTTTTGCAATAACGAAATGGTTTCGTCATGGTTTCGTCATGACGAAACCTTGATGATTGACGAAACCCCCGACGATTGACGAAACCCCCGACGATTGATGAAACCTATGACGAATTGACAAAATCTATGACAAATTGACGAAATCTATGACGAATTGACGAAACATATGATGAATTGACGAAACCTTGACAAATCTTTAACAATTGATAAACCTTGATAAATCGATTCAGGAACCCTTAGCATAATGATCTTGAATACACTAAACCTTAAATTGTTTCAAAAGAATGTTATTTCATTATAAGGTTTCATTGGCTTTTTTCTTTTTCTTCTTTCGCATGTTACGTGTAAATTTTATGTCGGGTTGATCCGGAATAGTCAAAATTGTGCACGCGTTTATTTTCATCAATTCCAGATAAATCTGACATATATTCCGAACATGTGCGAAAGAAGGAAGAGAAGCGAAAATACTTGAAACCAATGTTTAAATCGACCTTGGTGCACTAATTAAAAATGACGGGAACGAAATGTTACATATAATAAGCACCAATCTATAGCTCTAGTCTCCAACAACAACACCTTAACCCTAAACTTCTATCTTTACGCGCTTTGTTTATTTACAAAATTTAATTTCCTTTTTTGATTTGTTATTCGTAAATAACGATGGATAACGAGAATGTAATGAATATATTAATATATATATATTGTTATCCAACCTATATTGATTCTCTATCGCTGCTATAAATTATGCATTATCGCCTATTCTGTGAAAATATCGTTTTTTAGCTCTTATCGTTATTGACCATGACTTTCCTATGGAATTGCCTAAAATGTTAATTAGGTTATATTCTTTTGTTGGTGATACTATATTAGACCCTTTTACAGGTTATTAAAACACTTTAAATTTTTATAAACGCGGTAATTAACTCTATCTTGTATGAAAATAACTCATCAGGTTTCGTCATATGTTTCGTCAATTCATTATAGGTTCGTCAATTCGTCATAGGTTTAGTCAATTCGTCATAGGTTTAGTCAATTGTCAGGGGTTAAGCCACAAAAAAACCTTTCGGACCTTTTCAAACTTCGGACTAGAAAGTTTGAAGTTTGATTCGGTCCGGTTCAATAGGAGCATATTTGGACTCAAACTAGTTTGCAAACTTCGGACCGAACCCGGTCCGAACTTATAATTGAGTTTGAGTCCGGTTCGAAGTTTGAAATTGGTAAAATCTAGAGTTCGAGTTCGGTTCGATCCCGGACCGAACTCGAACCGGACCGGACCCGAACCGAACCTAGGAGCACTATCTGGAAGCACCCTAATCGATATATATCTGATTATCAGATATATATTGATTATTATCACTATTGATAGAAATCAGCAGGTATATTTAGTATCAATATATATCTTATCCAGTTAGTAATCGATATATATCTATATTTAAAATTTGCTGATTGGATCCTGGGTCGGATAGCGTAGTGGTTAGCGCTCCAGAGTCATATTTGCAAGATCGCTGGTTCGAGTCTAGTGGATGACAAAAACCGTGTTAGGGCCACGAATAAGTAAGATCTACGATGAGGTGTTAAACATTTCTCCCGCTTTCAGACATGGTACTACAGTGGTAATGAGTTGCGTGATATAACTATGGGGATATGTGCCATCCAGAAAAGGAAAAATCCAATAAAAAACGTCGTAAACATAAGGACCATCCACTATAAATAAGGACACAAATACGAACTGAATCAGAAAAGTAGAGTAACTAGCAAGGCTACACAGACCAAGAACGGAAACAGATCTCGGGGCGACGACAAACGGCCAACCGATATAGCGATCCGGCGGAATAGTAGTTCCTTAAAGCTATCTACGATCCGAGGACGGTACGGGCCCCGGACGTGGCTGACCCGCTAGTAATCACCGGAAAAAATGGATAGTCGCGGCTTTGTTTAGATTAGATAGGAAATCCCTACTATATAAAAAAATAGCATATGTAATAAAAATATAGGGGGCCTGCAGTGTCCCTAAAAATAATGATCTTAATAAAAGACCGCCAAATGCGGCTTCAGGTGTATGCTCGAAGAAAGTTCAAAAAAAAAATTTGCTGATTAATCAATATATCTGATATGATATTAATTAATAATTATATAATTATATATTCACATAATCATATACTTTGCAAATTTTTTAAACGTTTTACAGATTTTCGCAAGTTTTCGCAAGTTTTCGCAATTTAATATAAAATTTTATTTTTTATTTATTATTGTTATTTAAATTATTCGCAATTTAATATAAAATTTTATTTTTTTTATTTATTATTATTATATATTATATTTTAAATATTATATATTTTATTATATATTATTATAAAAAACAACAAAAAAAATAAATCCAAAAAAAAACGAAACCCAAAAAAAAAATAAAAAATTGAAAACAAAAAAAATAAACTATAATATTCCTTATATTTGCTAATATTTACTTATATTCGCTTATATTCGCTTATATTCCTTATATTCGCTATTTCTTGCAAAGTAATGGAAAAGGTAAAATAGATATTCTTGTAAAGTGCCAAAAAAGTTAAATTGTTTTTCTGCAAAGTTTCGAAAGAAGTAAGGAATAAATAAAATAAAAAAAAACAAACAAAAAATAAAAAACAAAAACAAAAAAAAATAAACTATTATATTTGCTTATATTTGCTCATATTCGCTTATATTCGATTAAATTTGGTCATATTCGTGACTTCTTGCAAAGTGCTTTTGTAAAGTGCCAGAAAAATCAAATCGTTTTCTTGCAAAGTTCCGAAAGAAGTAAAGAATAAATAAAATAAAATTAAAAAAATAAGTAAAAAAAAAGAAAACAAACAAAAATCAAAAATGTAAGCAATCTAAATAAAAAAATTAACAAAGCCCCAAATCTCCATTTTGAGTTTGTGTTTTTGCAATTTAGAAATCATCGAAGGTTTTTGCAAAGTGCTGAAATAGGACCCCGGACATCTCTGATATATGTCATGTTTTTTTTTTAGCAAATTGATTCAAATTTAATCTAAGGTCCAAATTTAAATTTTAGCAAATTCAAGTTATTTTTAAAACAGGTCATAATTGAATATTTTAGCGAATTACTAAGATTTTACACATGTTATATTTTATTTTTAGCAATTTATCCTTTTTTGGGAGAATTACATCGGGAAAATAAAATCATTAAAAACAATAAATAAATAAACAAATAAATAAAGTAAAAAAAGCACGTTATTTTTTTATTTACTTTGTTTAAAAAAAGATTTATATACTACGTGTATTATTTATTTTTTATTTTTTATTTTTATATATTACGCGGATTTGATTAGTACCCGTAAAAATAAATAAATAAATAAAGTAAAAAAACATGTTTTTTTATTCTTTTTTTTTT